TCCGTCTCCAGAGGCATCATCACCAGCAGCTCCCACTCCCACCACGTCTCCAACTGCTGGCACAGACACGACTACCGAAGCATCAGATTCAACAACCTCTACCTCTATGGCCACTTTTCCCTTTGGCAGCCCTCCTCCCACAACCACCCTTCCGCCCTGGTTTACGTATGCGTCCATGACCATCACCGAGAGCTCGACCACGGAAGTTGCTCCCATCACGGTAAGCCTTTTCCTGCTCTATCGCTGACCCTGCTGACGGGGACGTCACTAGGTGATCACCTTAACGAGCGCCAGCCACACGACCAGCGTCACCTACGTCTCGACGCGCACCAGCTCCGGCGACATCGGGCCCACGCCTGCGTGGATGTGCTGGGGCCCGCTCTGCGACCACAGCAGCTCCTGCATCATCCCCCTCTTCTGCAAGTCCCAACCGGGCAGCGGCGTCTCCTGGGGTCTCTGCTGCGGCTGGGAGCCCAAACTGCCCGGCCTACCGTCCGGAGAGGCTCCTCCAGCAGGGGGTCCCAGCCCAGGGCCTCCGGACTTGGACAACGACGACGGCTCTTCGTCGAAAAAAACTACAGCCAAAACCACTGAGAAAACTACAGAAAAAACTACGGCTAAAACGACGGCAAAGTTGTCCGAGACGGACAAGTCCACGACAACGTGCACGCGCACGCAGACGGCCAGTTCGTGTGCCATCACTCTGTCCGTCTTCACGCCGTCCGGGGCCAGCACGGCGTCGACATCCACCATTACGGTAGGACTGTATTCTCAGCTATTTTCAACTGTTACTAACGTACATACGACAGGGCACCTGCTCCACGACCACCGGCTGCTCCGTCACAAACACCGCCTCGACCACCACCACGACGAGCGACGCAGTGATAACCCCGACTATTATCGCTGATCCGGAAAATTGGGACGGCGAGAATGACTGGCTTTCCATGCAGCAGGCCGGTTTGGAGGTGCTTCTTACTGCTACGTACCCTATTTTGACTTGGACTAGCGGTAGTAGCAGCAGCAGCAAGGCATCGTCCACGAAGGCATCAACTACGAAGGCTTCGTCCAAAATCGCTTCGCCTACCAAAGCTTCGACTAAGGCTAGCACAACGACCTCAAAGACCACGCATACAACAAGTAGCACGACTCACACGACAACAACCGCCAAAACGACCAGTACCAAGACGACCAGTACGACAAAAACGACGACGACAACCAGCTCGTCCGGATCATCACTCTGGTGCGCGCCCACCACCATCGCCCCTCCAGGCGTACCACAAGACCACGTCCAAACCAACATCACCGACTTCTGCGATCTCTTCGACCGGGACGTCGATGTGTTCACGCTGATGCCGGACCCCGACGACCGGTCAATGGGGCTCGAGTACTTCTTCCCGGACGTTGAGATGACGCTGAACGTCAGCCTCGTGGCGGGCAACTCCTACGAGGTCTTCCAGACCACCTGCGACGAGGCGCTGCACACGGTGCTCAACGGGTGTCCGCCTTTCAAGGAGGATCCCAAGGCGGCGCATCTGTTCAAGTTTGGTGGTGGTATTACCGTGTCTGGCCCGGATGGTGTTGCGTCGTTCAATATGACGCTCGTTGCGAAGCCCGGGGATCCGGGGAGGGAGCCGAATTGTAATGCTCCTGATTGTTGATTAGTACATAAATGTATTCCTGGATTTGTATTTCTTTTCTTTTCTTATCTTTCTTTTTTTCTTCCTTTTTTTTTGCTATGATTATATGTTTTTACGTACGTTTGTATGGATGGATATGGATATGGATATGGATAATTACGTATGGATGTACCCTAGACATTGTATTTAATGCATGGCGTTGGTAGTTCCTATATACACTAGTATGTACATTATGATCGAGTGTTATCCTTAAAAACAGACAGACGCTAAATACACCATAATACATGCATATACACGAATAAAAAGTATACTACAGCTCATATCATATCACATCGAATCGTAAATCGTAAGTAAGTCCGTCCCACATCCACTGCAGCTGTTGATCTCTCTCCCTCTTTGGGATCTAGTCAGACACTCCTGGCCAACCCCTCCGCCCGCCATCTCTCTTCGCACCGCTCCAGGCCATCCGGGTAATAGGACAACGCGCCCGAGCGGCAGTTCTGCCAGTACGTGCGGATGACGTCGCACTGGGCCGTTGTCGTCGCGTTCAGGCCGGCAAGGTACGCCGTCGCCGCGAGGTGGACGTAGAACCCAGACGACGGCGGAATGGACGCAATCGCCTGGCAGGCGCGGTCTACGACGGCGGCGAGGGTCGTCCGTCGCGTTGGGGCTGAACTGCCATCGTCGATCCGGCTCAGGATGGCGATCACCGCGGCGCAGCGCCACGCGTTGGCCGTCTGGCCTCGCTCCGTCACGTCGTCCGGATGCGCCCGCTGCAGCTTCAGCAGCTGGTCCATGGCGCGGAAGCTCAGGTCGAGAGGATGCATTTCAGGCTGCAGCCGGGCCAGAGAGACGAACAGCGCAAACGTATCGGCCGGACAGCCGACGACGGCGAAGAAGCTGTCGGTCAGCGTCTCGCGGTGCCAGTAGTCGAAAATCAAGCCGCGACTGCCGCGGATGATGGCGCCCATGGCGTCGAACCACACCAGATGGGCGACGATCTCGGTCAGGCCGGAGATCTGCTGCGACAGCCGGTCGAGGTCCGCGCGGCAGCGGCAGTGAAGGTCGAGCAGCGAGCGCGCGCCGTACAGATGGCGCTGCCACTGGCCAAAGGGGCCCTCGCAGACCTCGAAGAAGGCGAAGGTGGCGATGCCGAAGAGCGCGATGGGGTGGGCCTGCTGGATGGCCTCGTTCAGGCCCATAAGGGCGGCGACGTGGGAGCGCACGGCGTCGGCGTCGGCATCGGTCGATCTCGACCGGTGGATGCGGGAGACGACAAAGTCCCAGACGCGCGAGACGAGCTGGATGGCCTTGTCGGAGGGGTTCTTACTGGCGGTCGACTGCACCTGCTCGTAGAAGGCCGTCAGGCGGCGGAGGAAGCTGTACGGATTGTTGGCACTGCAGGCCGTCGCCGATCCTGCCGACGCTGACGATGGCTTCTTCCGCCTCTCGCCGGCCCAGACGACGCGCTGGGGATAGCCACAGGCCAGGCCGGCCTGCACGCAGGGCTGGCAGCGTGGGCGGTTGAGGTCGCATTTGACGCCGCGAGCCTTGCAGAGGCGGCAGTCTCGATCGCGGCGGATGCCTCGGGGCTTGCCTCGGGGGCGTTCCATGAGCAGTCTCGATCAGACGTGAAGGAGTGATGCGGTGGGGAATGGACATATTGCTAATATAATCTTATCTGCGGGGGATCGGAATGGACTCGGAATGCCTTCCTGGATAGGAAGCGGATATCTTCAATCCACAGTCAATATTATCATCAATCTGTCTGTGAGGTGATCTTTAAATTAATTTATTAATACAAGAATAGGAGAAATGAATAAAAAGAAATAAGTGGTAAAAAATGAAAATAAAAAAATAAAAACAGTAGTTTTCTCTTGTCAACCGATATCTGGGTCTGTATGCTGAGGATGCGTTCTGATTGGCCAAAATCGACTTACTTCATCGGGAATTTAGTAACAGGCCCAAGAGCTACCATATCACTATCTCACAATGAGAGTTCTTGATAGGAGGGAAAGGGGAGAGAAGCTTCAGGGTAAAGGTCTTGCTTTAAATTGACCTTGTACGGGATACCTGTTATAATTCTTCCATAATATCCGGCTAACCGTTTCTCAAGAGGATCATACTCGGAACAGAGGAATTTCAGGAACGTGGCTTTCTGGCTCTTGCTTATGCTTATCTTAGGTTGAGGAGAGAGACAGAGTTGCTTTCACGTGGAGAACGAGACGGCACTCTAATGTCTCCTATTGAATATCGGGATGAAGACCTTTGAGGCACCTGATGAGATTCGCTTTATTTTCTAAACCCGCCTGACTCGTCCCTCTAAGTTTCCTTGCTCAGATAGAGTATGGAGGACCCAATTTGTTCTTTCCATCTACAGACCGATAAGTCAATGAGTCAATCACATCCTCAATTCCTTCTATGGTGCGAATCTGCAGCCAGAGTATCAGTGATGGACAGAAAGAGAAGGAGACAGAATATCATCAGTGAAATACGGAATCAGAGGGATGCAGTGGGACGTTATTGAATACACATACATTGATACCAACAACTTCCCTCTCTCTCTCTCAACTGATGACTCGCTAAAGTCGATTAAAACAGAAGTACCACAATTGGGACAAAATTTGTGTGGTTTTGTCTTATTCCCAAATCGATACTGAGTGAGAGAGTCCTCACCAGAACGGAATACAACGTCTTTTCTGAGAGGATATACCAGGAGATAGCCATTCTTGGTGCAGATAGAACAATTGCACTTGATGACTTTTGTGGTCGTCAGAGGCGGATGGGAGAAGGAAAAACGGACGAGGCCACAGTGGCAATTACGCTGTAAGTTTCCATTAAGATTGGCTTCTATAAGGAAATATTAGGTAGCAGCTTTCCTGTTCATGAAACTTGGAGTAAAGGTTGTTTAGTGAGTGGCTCAATAGACAAGACGGGTAGGAGTTTGTCTTAATATCTCCTCCCCATGGTGGAGGACATGGCCTCCATTAATTAGCGCAGTTGGAAAGAGGGGTAAAGAGGGGTAATAATGTATATGCCAGGGGTGTGCAGCTTCAAGATCCCAGCTTGGATTCAAGTCGAGCAAACGACGCAAATTAGCCCTGCAACACGCAGAGGGAAAGGCAGAATATTATGATAGATGCCCCAGGCATCCAGCAGATGCATGTCTCGGCTCACTTAGGCCTCACCGCCCTGGCAGGTGCCTATATCTAGGTTGTGGCCTGTAGGGCTGTTTGTAGGAATCAAGCCATTCTTTCATCCTCCAGAGCCCTCATCATATTACAAAACTTTGCCCCGCCGGTTAGAAGTTCTAAATGCTCTATGCTCCGCAAAGAATGATAACGTCTAGAGGCTCGTTAGAAGGATTCGTAGTTCTTTACTGCGGTGGCGGTCTTCTGATGACTTTGGATTCAGTGCAATGGCTTGCCTGCGACCACATCTAGAAAGCACTGTCGCGCTAGATGGCATAGCAGGATGCTTTTTCAATTTCCACTCCCGTCTTCAAAGTCATTTACTTTACCTGATTTGGGGGGTTGGTAGTCGGTGCATGGATCGATCTGCTCAAGTCAGTTGGAGCATGGTCATATCTCTTTGAAACCTTACTCTCATGACGAAATATCGTTATCCTTCGGAAGGAGAAAGAGAGAGACTGTGAAGGATCAACTTGGACTGAATGAGGAATGAGAGAAATGAAGGAGAGAGTTGACCACTGGCATAACTTTACAAAGGGGCAGTGATGTCGCCTTCCTGAAATGGCAGCTCTGGACTTGATTCACGTGCCTTCCATATGCAGCTACCAGTGAATGTTCTCGCTTGCCAGAAAGCTCATTTCTCTTTCACTACTCCTCCTCCCACATCACTACCTTCCACCCACTGTCAATCACGAAGATCTCTCCAGATATATATATATTCCGTACAAGTCGCCTCTTACCACCTTTAAAAGATGGCGGTGCTTGCGCCTCTGCCTCCCTCCCCGTCCAATAATTCCCCTGGTGGGGAGTAGGTGTTCTCAGCGGCCAGAGGAGTGAGATGGCATGAAGATGCTTGATTCCTCTATCTGAAAGGCAAAGAAAAGCCTTTTATGTCTGTGGGTCACGTGGGTAGGCAACCTACCTAGCCTCAGTCAGTGACTGCCAACAGGTATTACTGTTGGCGGTTTAATTTTTATAACCGCCTTCTCAATCTCCTACTTCTGCCTCCGAGCCCGCGAGAAATATGCAAGAAAATATCGAAAAAGGTATGATACTATGGTGTGTGTCCTTTTTAGGCACCTAGTGCTGATAATAGTTCCAGATATGGAGACCTCGAGCTGGGAGAGGTCCGGAAAGCCACTGGGCTGAAGGATAGGAAAAGCGGCACTACAAGCTGCGTTAGGAGCCGGGAAGACAATGGGAAAGACCCGAGTTCGGCGGAGGGGGAGGAGGGGGAGGAGGGGTCTGGGGATGGGGCGGGGACTGCGGCGGAGATGCCAGGGTTCTGGCCTTTTGCAAAAGCACTGCTCCGCGGTGCAAGATACGGCCTGATGGAACGGGCGGCCGAGAAAGTCATGTCCGGAGGATGGGAGCAAGTGGTGGAGGCAGCGGCTGTAGCGGAGAAGAAAGCAAAGAAGAAAGCAGCAAGGGGTTGGTCAGGAGAGAATTGAAAGTTCTAGTAAGTCTGCCCTGTTGCTCTAACAAGACAAAGTTATTAACAAGTGTCCAGTGAGAAACTTCTCGCAGGTTTTACTCTCCATGGCTATCACAAAATATCAAGATCGAGTTGGGCGAATCCCTTGATTTACCGGTCGAAGAGGCTCGTCTGTGCAACTTTAGAATTGCAGCTGGAGGAGACCATGGATCTCTGATTTGGTATGTATATCTTGAGCATCATGTACAGAAATCCTTACATCCGCATGATGCTGGTTCCAACAGAGCCTTGGATACCTTAGATAGCTTACGAGTTTACTTACAGACGCAGCTCTTTTTGGAAAGAAAACATTCCAATATTCTACCCTCTGTCCAGACCAGGAATCATCCCATGACCGCCATTTTCGTTCCATGCTTGTGTCTGTACTCGATTGCGCGATAAATAAAAAAAATAAATAAAAATCGATACTTTCAAAATCAAGTCGTAATAGCCCGCCCGCTCGCTTATGAATACACACGTACTGTACATATATGACTCTAGCCAACTTGCAGAACTCTTTTTTTTTTCCTGTTATTATTGCTTGACAGACAGGACTAGACTTGTGTAAAAAAAAAATAAATCAATCAGTCCAGCAATTAATATTATAATTATAATTATGTATTATTTTTCCGGCCAATACGTACGCCGTACCCTGCGTCCTGATCATCTACCTATACAAGCGTAATGCTTGCTGATGGTTTAGACCAGTCAGCTCACTGGCAAAATATCTATCAATTTTTTTACATATCCTACCTAATCTAATCGAAATTAGAAACAAAAATACGTCCTGCACCTATTATTACCAATTTTGCAGGTTCTACTCTAAAATAAATCCATCATTATCAACTCTTCAACTAAATCACTCTATTCATTGACGCATGCTGTCTATCATGACATGACATGACTACAGCAGTCCGCTGTACTATACACTAGGATTAGGATTATGATATATGACAGGAGCCAACAAATCAATGAAAGACCATCAATGAATCCGTCCATCCATCATCATCATCAGCCGTGAGACTCGTGACCAATGAATGAATAAAGCAAGCATCAACCAACCAAGCAGGGTAATCAAATCAAATCAAATCAAATCAAATCAAATCAAACCATGCAGACGCCGTCCCATGCAAGAAAGAAAGAAAAGAGATGAAATCAAGCCAAGCTGAAACTAGCTCGTCTAGACATACTGCCACGCCGGAATCGACCAATTATACGGAACCGTCACAGCAACAAAGTCGAGGCAGTCATTGACATTGCCCGTGGGGACAGTAGCATTCTTGATCGCCGCAAACACCTGCCAGCTAGACGGATTCTCGGCCTTGTCCGGGCAGGCCATGAAGCCGTTGGCGCCCTGGCCCGTGTACGAGTACTGGCCGTAGGGCTGGCCGGGGGTGTAGGAGAAGGGGCCGAAGGAGGAGCCCGGAGGCGTGAAGGTGGAGTGCGCCTGGGTGAAGGCCAGGGCGCCCTGGGGGTTGACGTAGACTTGCTGGCCGCCGGGGACTTCGGTGTCCTAGAAGCTGTTAGAAGACGCAGTCTAGATAATTACTGTCTGGATGGAAGTGACTTACCAGATACACGCCCTCAATAAACACCGTCTCGTTGCCTGGCGGGCACTTGGCGACAAAGGTCGGGCAGTAGGTAGATGGCTTGCCGCCGAGGAAGAAGCGCTGGCCGCCGGCCTGGACAGGCAGGTAGTGGATGGGCGAGCCGGAGCGGAGGGCCATGACGGTGAAGGCGCCGTTGCCCTCGTCGCGGGCATGAGGCTTCTTCATGACCGGCATGGCCGAGGCCAGCAGGGGGAGGAGAGTGGTGAAGAGGGTAGCGAGGAAGACGGCGATCTTCATGTTGGCAGGAAGATAATCAATTCAATCAGCAGGATAGTATATGATCGATTAAATGTATTGAGTATTTAACTTGTCTTGCTGTGCTGTGTGCTGTGTTGAGAGACATCTCAAGGAATACGCCTGATATAAATACCTTCATGGAAGCATGTAGCATCTTCTCGTCCGTACCCAGCCACCGGGACAGTACCCGGCGAAAAGCACCGGATCCACCGATCGATCCACCCGGAGTGGCACGGCATGGCACAGCACAGCCCAGCACAGCACTGAATCGGTATTCACAGACTGAGACAGACAAACAACCAGCGCATGTTGATCAGCACCAAATTCACAAGCGAAGTAAGACATGGCCAGCAATAAGGCCTAGCGGCTCGTGTAGCATGCCGATCGGCGCCACGCGATTCGACAGGTGTCGATTTGTCTCTAGCTAGCCTACTACCACCTAGGTAGGTACTAGGTAGTAATTAAATTAATTTTTTTTAGCGCGGTGCAAGCTGTGATTCGCGAGCCGAGAAATTAGAATAATTACCTAAGTTAGGTAATGTTAGTGTGCGGGGTGGCTGTGCTGGTGACATAAAAAAATATTTTTATTTTTATTTTTATTCAAGACCGACTATTCCGTATATTCCGAGTGGAGGCTTGTCGATCATCCATCTATCTCGTTCTCCACCGCCGAGTCGACGTTGTCATGTCATCGATTCGCATGGAGAGTGTATAGCTAATAGCTATAGCTCTATTTTTGGAAATGCGTGACTCATTCAATGATTATTATTATTATTATTCTTCCATTTTAGAGAGCGTTTTTCAGTCAGAGACTATGCACGCTCTGCCTACTACCTAGGCGTGACTCATTCAATAAAATCAATAGATAAAAAGGTACCGTAACAGAGTACTAGGTTAGACAGCAAGAATTTCCTCACCATCCAATTAGTATCATTACCGGGGTAACTTCACTGCCAAGAAAGAAAGAAATTATTTAATTCCTAGCCACTGGGCAGTGCCCTTGTCCAGCACAGCTGCCACACAACATGCCTATCCTGGTAAGGTATCACGATCAGATCGGATCACGATAGGAAATGATTTTTTTTAATTGCTACTATTTACGGGAATATCTACCATACACCTAGATGCGATCACATGTCAGAAAAATATCCCGTTGGTCACCGTCCAACGAGTATATTCTATTTTTTTTCTAATCTAGCAACGACCCAAGGAACACAACACTCTGTACCGAATACATGACAGATTCATCGGGAGAATACGGAAATTTCCTCTGAGACAATTATTTCTCTCACCGAGTGTTACATTCTCTCACCGAGTACTCCGTAGATAAAAGGAAAATTTTGTTGGGAAAGTAATTAAACTCTTATCTGAATAGATAATTCTCGATTATTCTTTTATTCGTTTTATTCATTTTATCAGCAAACAATCCTAATCTATAGCCAACATACTAATTCTATCATAGCTTATCTCTATACATTAACCATAATAATGTCTTCGTTATCGCCTAATACTCCCCAACCAAAGGCAAATCGCGCGAGCTTCTGCCCACCCAGATCCGGAACCGCCCGTCCACCGGCATCACCCAGTTCTGCTTGCGCGTGCTCCAGTAACTCAGATCCTTCCTGCTCAGCGACAGCGCCACCTGCACCGTCTCGCCCGGCTCGACCGTCACCTTGGTGAAATTGCGCAGCACCCGCACCGGGAATTCAATACGATCCGCGTACGTCCCCTCCTCGTCCCGGTCGACCACGTCCTGCGGAAACGATACATACAGCTGGACCACGGCCTGCCCGGTCCGCCGTCCCGTGTTCGTCACGTCCACCGTCGTCTGCACAAACGTCTCATACAACGACGGATTCCCGCCCTCGCCGCCGCCCGCCGGCGACGGCTCCTGCTCCTCCTCATACCCATCTGGATACTCGAATCGTCCCTTCCGAACTTCGGACACATCCGAGATGTACGGATAGACGTACTTGTGAAGCGGTCGAAACCCCTCCGGAAAGAGTGCCTCTTGCGCATCCGGCAGCTCCTCGTCGTAGAGCGGAGGTGCCACTATTTGCTTCGTCCGCGGTGACGGCAGGGGCGATTTCTCCTGCACTGGGGTCACCTGGAGGTTGCTGAACTCAAAGGACGTATAAGACAGCCCAAACCCAAACTCATAGCGAGGCGCGATGTTGTACCTGTCGAAATGCCGGTAGTCGATGTAAAGACCATCCGTGAAATTGACCTGCGGAACCTCCGCATTGGGCTTGTAGAGCACCTGTGCGCCCGGTCCGTAATCCGCCAGGCTCTTCCCAATCGTATAAGGCAGCCGTCCGCTGGCGTCCACCTCGCCAAACAAGACGTCGACCAGCGCATTGCCGCTCTCTTCGCCCGGAAGATGAGCCAGCAAAACCGCTTTCACCCGCGGATGATCGATCCACGACTCCATAATCACCGGCCCGACGGCATGGATCACCACGATCGTCTCCCCGACCCCGTTGCCACATCGATCCGCGACCTTTTGCACCAGCGCGTCGCCGCCCTTCTGCAGGAAGAGGTCGTTCCGATCGCCACGGATCCCATCGCTCGACGCAAACCCTTCCCCGGAATCCGCATTGGCAAAGACAATGCATAGATCCCGGTCAACGAGGTCTTGATCCGCAACATCATTCGTCAGGTAGCTCGCGACCTCGACATCATCCGAATCCCAAGCGGACTCCAGCGCCTCCCACGGAGTGACCAGATACGGGAAATCGACGGCGCCGCTCCCCCAGCCAGACGCCAGTGTCCCTTGGTTGCAGGCTCGGTCCGGACAGGCATTGGGGCCTTGGCCAGGACCGGCGTCTTCGCCGTATATACCGACGCGATATGTCCGCCCAAGTCCTGGACCTTCTCGCGGCAGCGGCAAGATGTTGTCGACATTCTTCACCAGCACCGTTCCTTCGGCCGCAACCTGGCGGGCAACGATGCTGTGAGCCTGTTTCCCCTTGCCCTGCACGTCGACATAGTGGTTAACCAGGCCAGTGGCGTTCTCGCCACTTCCCTCGTATAGATGGCCATATGGCTCGTCCGTCCAGGAGGAAAAGTTGGGGCCTCCGTCGTCCCACGGCGGAGGCATTGGCCAGGTATCCTGTCGCAGCTGATACCAAGCCGCAACAATCCGAGTGACCATGTCGTTCAGCCGCTCCAAAGGCAAGGTCTCGTTGAGAACAGCAATTGTGAGCTGTTTTCCCCACAGGGACTCTCCATCCGCCCAGACAAGACCATCGCCGGGCATCGACATATCAAGGCCAGCAAGTGCACTGATCACTCCGGACCGCTGGGCCAGCCAGTCGGACTGGACAAAGCCCTGGAAGCCCAGTTCGTCCTTAAGGATGCCGTTTAACAGCTTGCTGTTCCCGCAAGCGTAGGAGTTGTTGACCATTTGATACGAACACATGATGCTGGCCACATTCGCGCGGACGCTTTCCGCAAATGGCCAAACGAACACTTCTCGTAGGGCGCGGTCGTCGATGTTGGACGACAGGGCGTTGGGGAGACCCCATTCGCCGGCCTGTCGGAAATGTTCCTGCTCATTCATCACGTAGTGCTTCGCGGTGGCCATGACGCCGTTCCGCTGAATGCCGCGGATCGTCTGGGCGGCAGCCACTCCGCTGAGAACGGGGTCCGACCCGAAGCCTTCCCAATTGCGTCCTCCGGCGGGCATCATGCCCAGAGGGCCCATCGCCGGGCCCAGGATGACATTGACGCCTTTCCCGCGAGCCTCGTTGCCTAGCGCGAAGCCGCGCTGCAGCATGAGATCGCGGTTCCACGTGGCCCCAGTCGTGATTCCGGCGGGGAAAGCGGTGATGTTGTCGGCAAAGCGCAAGCCCAGCGGGCCATCCTGCAGACAGAGAGAAGGGAATCCGGCGAGGAGTGCCGGGCCTAGACAGCAGCAGTTAGACGGCAAATCAGACGGCAGATCAGACAGCAGTATTAAGTCAAGCATACCTGTATTGCCAACACAGAGCCCCATCTGCCAGCCGACGCCGGTCGTGACGTTGACTTTTTCTACCAGACTCATCCGTTCGACCAGCGCCTGGGCTTTGAGATAGCTGTATTCCCACCGTTCGGTCGTTCCACCGCGGGGGGAAGGGTACCAAGGAGGAGATTCCTGGCGAGTCAGCATACATTCAACGAACACGACTTCAACGACTGGCAGGTAACAAACTCACCCATTCCTTACTGTGCTTCTCCCAAACCCAGTCGCGCATGCGCGATCCAAAAACGATCAACGGGAGAAAGACGAGCAACAGAACAGCAGTCATGAGCAAACAGAGGCGATGTCTCTGATACAACGCCCTGAGCAGCGTCGTACCGGTCCGGACGTTGGTGATTTTTCCTTTTTTCTTCCAGTTCTTCAGCGCAGCGGTCATTTCGTTGTCGTCGTCATCACTGAGATCCGACGCAGAGAGATCGTCCAGACGCCAATGCTCGACGGCATCAGGATTATTCATCGAGACAGCATGTCCGTCGCTGTCATCGTCGTGGTCGGCGTCATCGCGACCAGCAGGATCACCACCGACAGGGAAAGCTGCTTCTTCATCGCTGCTTCCTCGTGGCGGTCTCTGCTGCTTCCGCAGCGGGATGCTCTTGGCATCAGGGCGACCGAGAGCCATCGCCTAGCAGGTAGACAGTAGACATTAAGAGGTAGATATTGAAGATGTAGATATTAATGGCATGGCTAAGCAGAGCAGTGGCAGCCAATTAAAGAAATACTCAGTATACAAGTGTAAGAGACATGATGCCATTAAATATTATTTAGAGAAGTTCTAAGCAGATGACGCCGGACGGTTTCGGCTTTCTTGGCGTCGGCATCGCTTCCGGATCACGTGCCAACAAATCTGATAACATACGGAGTATGCAAAACACACTAAAGGTCTCGAACCCAAGCGCAACAATTTGGAAAGGGAACCAAGACTGGAACGTCCGTAGAGGTAGGAGTCCTTAGTCGATAGTAGGTTGTCTTGTCTAAGTTGACCTCAAGTGGAAGAGGCCTTTCAACCTGCAAACTATCCAAGTGATCACATGACAAGGCTAGGGGTATTGCTTCTGCTGAGTGCTGACCGACATTTATAGTGTATAGCAACAGCCTCGAAAATAAATTAAAGCATCATGAAGCAGTGCTAGAAGTGGTACTGTACCATTACCTCTATCGTATGTCCATACATACATGTATGTACAGTACTACAATATGTAATGTAATGTACAGTACGTATATCAGGTTACCAATCCAGCCAGCAATAAACAATAACAAAGAAGAATAGATACTCTATACTTTGACCATCCAAACCAGAGTAGTGTTATCAGTAGTATAGTAGATAACCCTCCGTACTCCTTCTCCACACTCCACACTCTATATCCATCCTCGGTATAACTACGCAGACAAGGTTATAGTATAGTTATACCGATTGAATCCTTTCCTGTTTGGGGATTGAATCCTTTCCCAAACAGGAAAGTAATCTATCAGCTCTCTACCTAAATTGGATACCGATCAATCAATTATTCTTCGGGGGCAGTCCACTAATAATTTAAATTCAAATTGTCTTGTATCTTGTGTTCTGTCTTCGGAAGGACTCCGTGGAGTCCGTGCGGGGAAGAAGGGAATGGAATATATAGAGAGATAAGGTGCTTTTGTAGGTACGTATGTAGAAGACTTATCTAGATATAGAGATAGATACGGTGTTTTCTTCTTTCATTGTTTTCTGTTTATTATCAAGAAGTGACTGACAGACAGGTAGGTACAATACATACATAACTGATTCCTCAGTCCATTCAGCAGCAACACAAAACAAGGCATAAGACAGAACAGTAGGGTTCATCACAGTGTATATACTACATTTATCATATAAGGACATTCTTTAACTAAAGTAAGTACGAGCACAATCCATGAATTATTCCTGATATGCATACAGTATATGATACTAACCCCAATAGTCACATCCAGTATATATACAGCATATACAGAGTATATATAATATATATACAGCATGACAATCCCCCCCTACGAACAGCGCAGCCACGAAAAACGCATCCAACAACTCGAATCTATTCCAAAAGAATGGCGCTTACCAAGAGTCCCCTCAGAGGAAGAAGTCCGCAATGCACTGGAATACATCCGTCAACAACAAAATCACCTGCTGTCACCCCAAGAACTAGAAATAACCGAAACAACCAACATAACCATCCTCCTCCACAAGCTCGCAACCAGCGAACTCTCCTCCGTCGCCGTGACAACCGCCTTCGCCAAACGCGCCGCTCTGGCGCAGCAGCTAACCGGATGCTGTACGGAGATATTCTTCGCGGACGCGCTCGCTCAGGCGCGGGAGTTGGATGAGTACCTCGCAAGGGAAGGGAGGACGGTTGGGCCTTTGCATGGGCTGCCGGTGTCGGTGAAGGATTTGTTTGAGGTTAGGGGGGTGGATACTTCTATCGGTATTATACCCTACATACACCGCAGGTGTATAAGACAGTCTAATCTAGGTCCCTGCTAATGTTTTTCGACAGGATGGGTCGGTCTAACAGACAAGCCTGCAAAGGAAGACGGCCACGCGGTGCAGACCCTGCGCAGGATGGGCGCTGTGCTGTACGTGAAGACGAATGTGCCGCAGTCGATGATGGTATCACAATCCCCACCTAGTAGGAATCCCTTGCTCTAAATGTAGTTTCTAACGGTGCTGTGTGTAGATGTCCGACTCGTACAACCACGTCTTCGGGCAATGCGTCCACCCACTCAACAGAGCGCTCATCTCAGGCGGCAGTTCGGGCGGCGAGGCGAGTCTCGTCTGCGCGAGAGGAAGCATCCTAGGCATCGGCACCGATATAGGCGGCTCTATCCGTATTCCTGCCAGTTTGTGTGGATTGTATGGGCTGTCGCCGTCGTCGGGGAGGCAGCCGTATGAGCAGAGGGGGTGAGTAACCATTACATGTATCCCGCGTGACGATCATCTAGTGCTTTATTGATGACTGCTGACGATCCCAGCCTCAAACAAGACATCGTCCGCTCCGTCGCCGGGCCCATGGCCACCAGCCTAGCCTCTGTCGAGACGTACATGTCCGCACTGGCATCCGTCTCACCGTGGGAGATCGACCCGCGCGTGATCCCGATGCCCTGGCGCGCAGAGCAATGCACGATAAGCAAGGACAAGAGACTAAAAATCGGCTTCGTCATCGACGACGGCGTCGTCAGGGTGCAGCCGCCCATTGCCAGGGCGGTAAGGGAGGTGGTTGAGGCGTTGAGGAGGGCTGGTCATGAGGGTGAGCATACAAACCCTACATCTATATGTACTGGGCTGGTTGCTGACTGCCTAGTCATCGAATGGGACGCCACCTCGCACAACTACGCCTACAAACTCTGGGAAAAAGCCATCTTGTCAGACGGCGGCGAGAACTGTCGCAAGCTGTGTTCGCTGAGCGGCGAGCCTTTGATCGAGGGGATGCTCGTGGGGACGGAGAAAGACCTGTTGACGACGAGTGAGCTGCATCAAGTAAGCCCCTAGTACTCCTCCCACCATCATCTTTGTCGAACCCAGCTGATTGATTGCGCAAGCTCATCCTCGACAAATATACCTACGAAACGACGTATCTCCACCGATGGCACGCCGCGCAGCTCGACGCGCTCATCATGCCCGTCACGCCGTGGGTGGGCTACAAGCCTTGGACCTGGGTGCGGAGCCACCAGTACGTCGGGTACACGAGTATCTGGAACCTGCTCGACTATGCTTCGTTGGCGATGCCGGTGACGGTGGCGGATGAGAAGAAGGATCGGCTGGATATCGACACGAATATAGAGTATTGGGGGAAGCATGTCCCGAGGAATGCGTCGGATGAGTTTAATTATCGGCAATGTGAGTTCGCCTCCTTAGCATGGTAAAGAGAGTGTGGACTGTGCTGAGTGATTGCAGATGATATCAACCTGGTCAAAGGCATGCCTGTCGGTATCCAGGTCGTAGGTGGGAAATTCGGTGAGGAGAAGTGCATTGCTGTCGCTAAGGTTATCGAGGAGGCGTTGGTGCAGTTTAGGAAGTGATTGCCGTACATATACGCCTGTATATAGAAATATATTACTGTCAACGAGTGAAGCAACTAGCTGTAGTAGCTATACTCCGGAGTATGCAGTTTACGTTGATTGCATAACTATTCCAGTTCAGTTCGATTGTCATTCATCTCATACATACAATGAAAGAAACGCAACAAACGTATACAGAGGAAAGGGTATTCATGACGACATTCCGGCAGATACACATTCCGGCAGATATAGATGGAGAGGTAGGTACTGCTCACAGCTTGGCAGCAGTGCCCGGCGACGAAATCTCATTGTACAGCAGACTAAACCCGTCAGTAAGTTGCATGCAATGCAGTCCTCGGACTGGGCTTACCTCGTCAGGAAATCAGCATAGTCCTCGCCCGTCACCTGCGTGGCAAAGTACCGCGCCGCAAGCGC